ATATATATTTATTCTTATTCTATCATGTGGATCTTACATATTTCCATCCGACGATTGAACCACACCGAACGCAGAATATATCTGCCACTATGTGTGATCCAGTCATCATCAACCTCTCCTCTTTCTCCCCGAGTGTTACATTTACTCTAAAAGAAGAAAATAAAAAAAATGTTGCAATTTTCAGACTATGCACACTTCAAATACTAAATTTTGTTTTCTATTGCTTTATTCATAACAGTAGAGGAATACAGAGATTTTACAAATTTTCATTGTTCAGAATATTTTATTTAAATTTTGCCTGTGTATTTAAGTCTTAAAATGGTGCTTGAGCATGAAAATAACATGATATGAGCATTAATGAACAATTTTCAAGGGACTAACAACAAAGCTTTAATATGTCAAAGACACACTACAGAACAAAGGTAAGGATTAACTAAAGGAAGTACCCTTAAGGATTCACCCAATTCCTTATAAAAAAATCCAGTTTCTTTGTCTTTGGCTTACATTTACCCTCTTCACAGGCATTTGATCTCACCTAATACCTTCTTTACCATTAATGAATAGAAAGACAGAGATAACGACGAGCAATTTTTTTTTTTCCCTTGCAAGAATTTTGGTTTTACTCTGAATTATAGAATTAGTCTGTCTTCCAACACCAAAATAGATGTCAACGCATGCCGTTCGAAAAAGTGCTGACTATTTTGTTACATTATTTCTACTTAATATCATCTGGCGGAAAACAAAAACAAAATAAAAACAAGAAAAACTTACACATTGCTGAAGAGATAAGCCTTCCCATGTCTGCAGTGGAAAGACTGAAACCAGAAAGGAACAAAAATCATCAAGTAAAAGATATGTTTGATTGGGAAAAACCGAATCTTGAACAAGCTAAAACTCATTTTGGAAAATAATAACAATCAATAGAACCTTCGAAAGGTGCCATCTAAGGCGAAGCCATTTGATTCTCAGTTATTCGTTCATACCCGAGGCCCTTTCGAAATATATGATGTAGTATGTACTCATTGTACAAACCATGTGAAGACTTTGATTTAACTTTGCAAACAATGTTTTTGCAGTAAATAGAAACTATCGAACCTGATGTTCATGCCAACAGCAAACAAGAATGCCACTGATGAACAACAATTATCCATCGAACGTGAAACTAACTCAACATTGAAGTTATAACTAGCTAAACTAGCTAAAACCAACATAAAATCAATAATCAACTCAATCATTAACATTAAAAGAATCAAGTAAACGAGTTCTAGAAAGAACCATAGCCATCTAACCAACTAAAAAATAAACAACTAAACTAGATTGAATAAATCATCAATCAAACATCCATGTCCCGACTTGTTAGAGCCGAGCCAAAAAAAAAAATTGGCAACGTAAATGAGTGAAATTTTGATCTCGAAACACGGCAACCCTAAGATTATCCCTACTGCCACTAATCCCCAAAATGTGAAACAGATATATCTGTTCTAACAAGATTCGTAACTCATAAGTGCCATTCTAAACAGACATTCTTAATCCAATAAAGCATATTTACCAGAGAAAAACATAAAAAAAAAAAAAAAAAAAAAA